GGAGGAGGAGGAGGAGGAGGAGGAGGAGGAGGAGGAGGAGGAAAAAGAGGAGGAGGGGGAGGAGGAAAAGAGGAGGCGGGGGAGGAGGAGGCGGAGGAGGAGGAGGAGGAGGCGGAGGAGGAGGAGGAGGGTAGGTTCCCGTCCGAGATCCGTGTCTGATCGTCCCGGGGACTGAGAGCGGGCCCCGAAGGCCGAGGTCTCGGACCCACGGATTGAGCAAGTCATGCCTGCGGAGATTTGGGGTGCGCCGGGTGCACCGCTCATGGCCCCAGGGTGTCGACTAGATGTAAGAGTGACCTTTCGCCGGAGTGACCTCTGGTGTGGGCACAGATGGGTCCCCAGATGGCTGAAAACGAAGCAGCAGCAGCTGCTTGCGCGCCAAGGTTTGGTCCCCCCGCGGCACCCAAAAAGTCGCGCACCAGAGGTCACTCTTACGCAGGGTCACTCTTGCGTATAGCCGAGGATGGGCCTGGCCAGGGGCGACGTGTGCGCGTACACGCCGGTCGTTGAGAGTGGGTAGTCATGTATTCCCAGATCCCGATCCGTTTCAGCGCCTCCCCGCTTCAAGAGCCAGCACGCTTCGATGTGTTTTGCTATTTTCTCTGGGAGGGCCTGGACTCAATCTGCGCTGTCCGCCTTCCTGCTCCATGCTTGCACCAATTCCTTCCGACCGCCGAGCATACAGTCAACCCGCACAGTACGGATGGGCAGCCCTCCCAAGGCTACCCTTGTATCCTTGCCTCCGCGGTCCATCCTGGGCCACTTTCGTTGGCCGCGCCCCGCTCGAACAGCCTCGAACTTGGCGTCCAGGGCCCTTGCATCCTCATCGCGCATCCGTGCTACACTCAGGAGGGACAAAAAGCACACAGACACAATTCAATTGTCGATCCCCCAGAACATATGGGGAAATATGGGGAAGTGGGGGGAAGACACAAACCCAGAAACTATGGGGAACACTTTCATTTGTGTGTATTTAGTTGTGTGTCCTGCGAGCACGGGTGGACGGCCTCGTCAGGAGGAGGAGGAGGAGGAGGAGGAGGAGGAGGAGGAGGAGGGCGGAGGAGGAGGAGGAGGAGGAGGAGGAGGAGGACGAGGACTGTAGGTCTCGTCAGCCCTGCGAGCGCGCGCCGCCCGGGTTCAGCCGGCCGCTCCGCTGCTCTGCCGGCAGCGCCCCCCCTTTGCGCAGTCGGCAGCCCCCCCCCGGCGCCGGCAGGGCCCGCTGCTGGAGTTCGTGCGCCTGCGCAACGCAAGGCTGCCGAGCTGCAGCAGCAACCAGGACGTCGAGGCCTCCTCCTCCTCCTCCTTCCTCCTTCCTCCTCCTCCTCCTTCCTCCTTCCTCCTCCTCCTCCTCCTCCTCCTCCTCCTCCTTCCTGGCGTCGGTGCGATCGGAACGGGTGCGCGCCTGTTGATGAGAGTAGGTATTGTTGGACATCGAGATCTCAATCCCTTCCCAGCGCCTCCCTCCTCTTCCCAACGCCTCCCAGAGTCGAGCGTTTCCCCTCCTCCCGCCTCTGCTCTTCGGAGGGGCGGGCGGACCCCCAATCTGCTTCCAACGCCTTCCCTCTTCGGGCTTCTCTCCGCTTCTTCCAACTACGGAAGGCATGGGGAGCTGGCCTTGGGAGAAGGTCCGCGGGTCCAGGCCTCGTTTCCCCCTGGACCCTCTCGCTCCAGGCCCACCTGTTCGCGGCTCGGCCTGCCGGGCTGCCTCGCAGTCGGCCGCGCTCGGTCGGCTCGGCCCGGCCAGCTGTGGTGTCGTTGCCGCGTCGCCGAGCTCCACCGGGCTGCTTGCAGCCCGTCGGTTCTGGTAGGTCTCTGTTCCGTCTTCGGTTCGGCCGGAGCTCCCGCGGCTAGGCATCCTCCATGATGGGCCTGTCTTCCACCACCACCGAAGCTGGAGGGGGGAAGGGGAAGGAGGTGGAGGACGAGGGGGAGGAGGACGAAGAGGAGGAGGAGGTGGAGGAGGAGGAGGAGGAGGAGGAGGACCCCCTCCCCCTCCACCTTATGGTGGTGGTGTGCCCATCACTCCAGGCCGCCCAGGTGGGGTCCGAGCGGATGGGGGGCGGAGGGCCGCCCCGCAGCGCTGGTGCGTCGGTGCTGCGGCTCGCTGTGGAGCTGGACTGTCTGCACAGCACCTTCGCCCGGGCGCCCGCGAGTACGTAGCACAGAAGTGGGGGCTCCAGGCCTGGCGCCGCGCCGCCGATGCAGCGGCAGCGGGGCTCGGCGTGCAGCCATCGGTCGTTGCAGGTAGGCATTTCTGGAGTCCCAGATTCCCATCTGCGTTGAGCGCCTCCTGACTTCGAGGATCGAGTGGCTTCGCCTTTTCCATCCTCTTTCGGGGGCGCCCGGACGCCCAATCTACTTTCAGCGCCTTCCTACTTCATGCTTCTACCTATTTCTTCCGACCGATGGGTAGCCCGGCTTTCTCCCCGCCGAAGTCGCCGAGGCATCGCCGACGCTGCCGGTGCATTGTCTATGCACCGCCGATGCATCGACAGTGCGGCACGATCCTCTGACCCCATCCACTCCAACCCCATCTGGGAGCATATGCGAAGGGAGGGGAAGAGAAGGGCCCCCTTCCGTAATGTGTTGTCCCTTTCTCGCTCCGCCGCGTTTTGTAGGTGTAGTGCGTGCCCGCCCAACCCACCTTTTTCGGTTGAAGGGGAAGAGGACAGGAGTTTTTCATGTGGATGCGTCCTCTGACGACGCGTCTGTCGACCGTCTGATTATTGCCTCTGTTGTATCGTGCTTTCGGCGTCTGTGAACCCCAGGTCGCTTCCCTGCATCACCCCTTAACCGTAGCGCTGGCGAGTAGGGATATGATTTGACATGATATGTTAGGATATGTCATGATACACTTTTATCTCGTTAGTTATGTATGTATATATTTTGCTTTATTTATGTATGTATTCATTGATGTAATTATTTAGGTCTTCTTATCATTATTGTTAATAGATATACACATATATGTATGTGAACGCACGTGCATCGGGGTGACGGGGCCAGACGGCCACTCATTGTCCCGGGGTGCGTGGCTGAAGTGGGGATCGGCGGTCTCGATTCTCGCGCTATCGCTTGAGACTTCTTCGCGATTCCTACAGGACTGACGCTTCAGCTCGTCGCCCGCTCGACTCGGCCGCCTGGGCCCGCCTTCCCGACCCGCCTATCAGATTCTACCCGCCCAATCTGCCCGTCTGGTTCTGCCACGTGTTTTGTGCTCCTAGCCCCCTTCCTGCTAATCTCTCTCGTGCTTCATCCTTCTCCCTCCCTCATTGTCCCTTCTTTCCGTACGCTTTTCCTCTGCTCCAGGGGCTGCGGCAAAATACACGTGCCAGGTAAGGAAGCTATACCCACAAGGGGGGTACGATCGAAGAGGAAGGGGGCGTGTATCGAGGGTTTGGGATACGCGTGTTGCATGGCACGCGAGAAGATAAGGGCCAACAGCCTTGTGTTGTTTTTTTGTTTGCTCCGTGTCGGCGTCCTCGCCCCCCGCCCCGCTCGCGACACACCCGCGGCCCACCCGCGACGCACCCGCGAAGACCCCCGCGACCTACCCCACGACCCGCCCGCCCGCCCCCTTCATTCATTTGGAGGTTGATTGACCTCTTACCCTGACACGTCGATTAGCGAATTGGCCGTTTTCGGTTCGCGAGAGGGCGTCACGGCCGTCTTTTTTGTGGGTCCAGGTCCGTCGGTTTTGGGGTTAGGCCGTTTTTATTAAGGGGGAGTTTACTAAAGGGAGGTTTGTCCATCGCCGAAATATGCCAATGGATTCTCGGACTCCACTTCAAGCGTCGAACGGTGTCCCTCAGGAGGGAAAGAAACCCACAGACACAATTAATCGGCGATCCCCCAGAAAATATAGGAAAATATGGGAAGTGGGGGGGAAGACGAAAAAAACCAGAAACTATGGAAAAACATGGGGAATGTCTTTATTGGTGTGTATTTGTTTGTGTGTTCTGGGGCCCCTTTAGTCCCTGCTGCCTCCTCCTGCAGAGGGCGGGCCCGGCGCCCGCGCGCCGGGTCCGCGGGCCCGCAGTCTGTGCCAGCGTGTGCCCGATGCCTCCTGCTTCTGCCCGCTTCTCGCGAACCCTGGGCCACGGGCAGGTTCGGGCCGATATGTCGCCTCCTCCACCTCTTCATCCTCCACCTCCTCCTCCACCTCCTCCTCCTCCACCTCCTCCTCCTCCTCCACCTCCTCCACCACCACCTCCTCCTCCACCTCCTCCACCTCCTCCTCCTCCACTTCCTCCACCTCCCACCTCCTCCTCCTCCACCTCCTCCTCCTCACCTCCTCCACCTCCTCCTCACCTCCTCTCCTCCTCCTCCCTCCAACTCCTCTTCCTCCACTCCTCCTCCTCCTCCTCCACCTCCTCCTCCTCCTCCTTCCTCCTTCCTGGAAGGTCCTCCCGAGAGCCTCCCGGCGCTCTCCGCCTGCGCCACAGGGGCCGGCCGGGGGCGGCGGTGCCCCGGCTCGGCGGTCCCCGGCGGGCGGCCCCGCGGGCCCCTGGGAGGCCTTCCACGTGCCCGTGGCCTCCGTGGCGAGCGTGGAGATCCGCTCCGAGGGGCGCCTGGCGTTCCTGCGGCTGCGGGAAGAGATAGACACAGGCGGCCGCGCGGGATCTGGGGCAGCGTCAGGGGGGGGGGAGGAGGAGGAGGAGGAGGAGGAGGAGGAGGAGGAGGAGGAGGAGGAGGAGGAGGAGGAGGAGGAGGAGGAGGAGGAGGAGGAGGAGGAGGAGGAGGAGGAGGAGGAGGAGGAGGAGGAGGAGGAGGAGGGGGAGGAGGAGGAGGAGGAGGAGGAGGAGGAGGAGGAGGAGGAGGAGGAGGAGTAGGAGGAAGGAGGAGGAAGGAGGAGTTGGAGGAGGAGGAGGAGGAGGAGGAGGGAGGAGGACGAAATGGAGGAGGAGGAGGAGGAGGAGGAGGAGGAGGAGGAGGAGGAGGGGGAGGAGGAGGAGGAGGAACAGGCGGGACCCAACCCAGCGGCAGCGGGCCGGCGGGGCCAGATGCCGGTGCGGCCCTCGTGCCTCCCACTGGTGCCCCTGCGCAGGTGGATCCTGAGGCGGAGACTGTCCCAGGCCTCCCTGGTCTCCCCGCCGAGTCTGCAATGACCCCTGGCCGTGTGCCGGCCGAGCCAGCAGCGGTCCCCGTGCCGCCGCCGCCGGTCTTCGGGGCCTTCCTGAACGCCGCTGCTCTGCCCTCGTCCAGCTCGTCGTCGTCGTCGTCGTCGGCGGCGCCTGGCTCGCCTCTGTCACCGGCGCCTCCGGCTTCGCCTGGCGCCCCGCACTGCAGCGGCGACGCGGCATGCAGCGAGGGGCCTCTCAGCTCACTGCTGGCGGCGGCAGCTGCGCGCACTTTGCCCTCGCACCCTGGCGTCTGCAACTCGGCCTACTCGCCGGCGCTCCTGGCCGCGGTCGGCCTCCTACCGGCAGAGACCTTGGCAGGCTGGCTCGCCCATGCGTCCATGGGTCCGCCCTTCGCTGGCCTGGTGCAAGAGCTCGTGGGAGCATTGGCGGCGCCCTCCTCGGATCACGTTTTTGCTCTGCAGTCCTTGGCTGCCGCCGCGCCCGGGCACGCCGCGCCTGCGGCCTTGGCGGCCGCTGCCCTCCTCGGGCGGCTGGCGCGCCCCGTGGGCCTTGCAGAGGTGGTCCACACCCTCCTGCTCGGGGCCAATTACCTGGACCCCTTGGTCGCCGAGGCCTTGGCGGCGGTGTACGGGGCTCTGCACAGGGTGCCGCTGCTGCCCTCCGTGCCGCAAGTCTGCGCTGGGCTGCGGGCGCAGCGGGCGGCAGCTCGAGCGGTTCTGCGGGGGCCAGCCCGGGCCTGGCACCGGCGTCGCAGGCCGCTCCCCCGTGGCGCAGTCCGCCCGCCGCCCCTCCGCCTCTGGGCGGCCCCGCTGCGTCCTCCTCTGGCCCGCCGCCTGCGTCGCTGGGGATGCCCGCGCCCCAGCCTCTTCCGCCTGCGCCGGCCAGTTCCGGGCGGCCGTGCTGCCCGCCCCCGTCGTCTGGCCCCCCGCCGGCGGCGCCCGTGCTGCCTTCGCCCAGCGGCCCGCCCTCATCGTCCGTCTCCTTGCCGGTGGCGCAGGCGCAGCACCAGCCCCAGCAGCCTCCCGCGCCTTCCGGCTCTTCGCGGCGCTACGCCGGCGCTGACCCCGGTAGCGCCCGCTTCCGCCGCGGGCTCCCTGCGCGTGCTGACGGGCGCGCGCTCACAGAGCAAGAGGTCCTTCAGTTGGCTGCCGCCTGCGGGCTCTACACCGACTCCCGCCAGGCATTCTGGCTCTTTGGCACCAGCGGGGCCCGGATCGGCTTGGCGCTCCGTCCGCTCGGCGGCGGCGGGGTGATCAATTTTTGGCTCCGGCAAGCCAAATTGACCATCGCCGGCAACACGGAGGTCCGAGAGCGGCTCCTCGAAGCAGTGCTTGCGTGGACCGTCCCCTGGGTTGGGAACCAGCCCCGGCCCCACGCCGCCGCGGCGCCTCCGCCCCCGCCCAGCGCTCTGGGCGCGCCGCCCGCGCTGGCCCTCCACGCTCCTGCTGCCGCCACGGGCCTGGCCGCCGCTGCCCCTCCGACGGCTGCTGCTGCTGCCACCCCGGCCGGGGCCTCCCGCCGCCGCCGCCGCCGCCGCCGCCGCCGCCTCCGCCGCCTCCGCCGCCGCCGCCGCCGTCGCCGCCGCCGCCGCTGCTGCCGCCGCCGCCGCCGCCGCCGTCGCCGCCTTTGCTGTCGTCGTCGTCGTCGTCGTCGTCGTCGTCGTCGTTGTCGTCGTCGTCGCCCTGAGGCTGCGGGGGCGCCCCCGGCCGCTGCCTCCCGCCGCCGCCGCCGCCCCCGCCTGAGCTCCTCCTGCCGCTCCCGGAGCGCAGAGCGCGGCCGCCGGCCCCGGGGCTAGCCGCGCGCGCCCCGGGCACTCGCTTCCTTTTTTCGCTTCTGGAAATGCGCGTTGCGTGTCCCTTGGCTGTCGTCGTCGTCGCTGCGTTCGCCGCCGCTGTCGCCGTCGTTGTCGTCTTCGTCGCCGTCGCCTTCGTCTTCGTCGCCCTCGCCGTCGTCGTCGTCGTCGCCGTTGCTTCTCGTCGGCGTCGCCCTCGTCGTCTCCTGTCGTCGCCGTCGTCCTGTCGCCCTCCCTGCTGCCCCCCCCCCGGGGCGTCTCCTCCCGCCGCCCTCCTCCCTCTCCCCTTTTCCCTCGCCTGGCTGGTGGTGGTGGAGCTGTGGCGGGGTGGTGGAGGACGACGAGGTTCCCTGTTTCGTTGCCGCCAATTGGCAGCACGCGCACTCGCGCTCGCGCACTGGCGCTCCGCCATTTGGTGGCGTGGCAGGCGCGGCTCCCAGGGGGCCCCTATAACTGTCTCGCATGAAGCGACACCCGGCCCCCCTGGGAGCGGGCACGCGCGCCGGGCACTTGCCCCACTGCCAGCGCCCTACTCGGGACTGCTCATGCCTGCCCTTTGCCCGGGGCTTCGGCACCAACGCGCCCCACTTGGGTGCGCCACAACCAGAACCAGAACCAGGAGGGGGAGGAGGAGGAGGAGGA